TATAAGATTATTTCTTTGTTGCTTTGTATGTCCTTCCCCCACAGTATAACCCCTGCTTTCACTGTCTTTGATGTTGGTATAATTTGTGGAGGGGAAGGGGAAAAACAAGTCGTTTAAATAAGGATACAGGTGGACCCGTTGCAACAATGAGAAGTACAAGTTGTCATGTTGAAAATGAACTTTACAACTTTGGTGGGGGGGGTGGGGAGGTTTGGGTGGGGAGGAGAGGCTGGGAAGGGATGGGAAGGGTAAACAAAGGAGGAGGCTACAATGCTTGATAAGAAATGTACTCACTATCTTGCCCATGTAATTGTAACCGCTCTGTAGAGTATTTTCACAATTAAAAAAAAAGAAATATACATTAGGGGCTGGGGGTTTAGTCCAGTTGAAGGGCGCCCGCCAGGTGCGCGCAAGGCCTGGGTTTGGTCCTCAACCCTGGAAAAAAAGGAAAAAAAAAGAAAAAGAAAAAAAAGCTACAAAAGAAATATACATTAAATACTATGATTATATCCCAACCCCTTCCTCTCTGTATTCTTCTGCCTTTCATTTCCTTAACTGCCCAATTATATCAACAATACAAGTTTCAGCTTCATGTTACTCATATTGCTAAATTGTGTGTTAGTTGTTTGAAGCAGTTACATCATTGGAATTCTATCCTACACAATCACTAATCTAGTCAATATGTTGGTGTATGTATGCATATGACCCTGTATAATTTCATGCATGTTTATAGCTTAGCTACATGTGACAGAAAAGGAGGTAATTTATTCTTATTCTAACTTACTCTTATTCTTGTTTCTAAGAACTGATTATATTTGTTTTTTCTAAGAATTTTAAGAATTATTTCTGAGAGTTATCTCTTGCAATTACATTTCTTGACTTCACACGCTCCTTGACCATGCTAGCTCATATTATCCAATAGAATGAACTTCCTATAATAGAAATGTTCTAGAACTGTGCTAGCCGCTGTATTCATATTATTTGTGGAAAGCCTTTGAGCATTTGGAATGAGGAAATGAATTCTGATTATTACTTTGCTTTAATGAGTTTAAATTTAAATGGCCACTTGTGGTTACTGTAACTTTCTTTTATCTCTTACTGTGCCTAATTTATAAATTAAACTGTCATAATAGTATGTGTGTATAAAACAGTAATTTCAAGTACCCATTGGAAATCTCAGTACATAGTTTTCTTAGGTAAAGGAGAACTACTATATGTGAAGACTTCCAGGATGCAACTGAGTGTTTATTCTTGGAAGTTTTCTGTGATCATCTCTATTTCGATTCCAGGTGTCAAAGAGCTTAGCTCCCATCTTGCCCCTACAGTATGTCTGCTCCTGACTGTGAATGCACGTTGCTGGCAGCCCCGCCCCCTAATCACCATATTGATCACAGAGTTCTGAGGAATTTAAATCTAATAACTAATTTCATCTTTCTCAGAAAGATACGTTGTACAAGAAGGAAATTAGATTATGCTTAAATATCATTACCATTTTTCATATATGCTCACAACCACATATTAGTTTTGGCCTAAGTTCAAGTAGCTATTCAGTGACCACACTGTAGTTTGAACCTCAGGTAGACACCATTCTTTACTGTAGAGTGAGTTTTTATAATGGTTCTCTTCACTTAAAACATCCTAAGAGCATGTAGCATGTAGTTCGTGTATAATAGGAGAAAATATATTTTTTCTCTGCCAAGGGGAAAGAAAGCAAAATTAAATAGTTTCTATTTCTTTCTTGTCTCATCACAAGTATTTGATCAAAAGGTATGCTTGTAAAAAGACAATGTAAAATGTTTTCTACCTTTTCATTACTAATGTGACTCTAAGATTTTATTTTATGCAGTTGATAGTAAATAAATTAGTGAACATAAGTGACAATAAAATGGGATTCTGCATTTGTTCCTGTTACTGCAAAAGATTATTTAGCTTTTCAGTACATTAACAGAAGGAATTTTAAATCATCAAGCTTGAGTGTTTTCAAAGGGCTGTGATGTTCAGATTTAAGTCAGGTTAATCTTCTGCAAGTTAAAATTACTTAGAAGCCATCTCTCCATAATTAAGTAATCTTACCTACTAATACTGTAGAATAAGGATACCTTTAAGTGACATGAAATCTGTCATTTTAAGCATGCCCCCAAGCCCTTTCCAGATTGCTCATAAAATTTCTCATTCTCTAGAGAAATATGATCTCTAAGAAATAAATGTCTCTGTCAACTCACAAGTAATATGAGCACAGGATGAAAAAATGAAATTTCTGAGTCTCGTAAGGGCTATTGCAGTATTGTCAAATTGATTTTATTCCTTGGTTTTTAAGTTCTCATGGTCATTTTTGGATTTACCTTCTGGATATAAAGAGAAGGTTACAATACCTTTTTAGAGTGGTGGGGGAGCAGGAGAATATTTTTCATAGAAAATTCTGTCATAAAATGCTAATGTTGGTGTTCTTGTCTTTATGTCTATGCATTCTTTAGCTATGAGGATAACAGACCCTTCATCAAGTAAGAATGACCTGAATGGCTGATAAATTCCATTTATCAGTGTGGTCCCATGAACCAGTTGTCAGATCAGTACTGAAAAATCATTAGAGCTTCTGTCATTCACATTGAGGCAGAAGAGCAAACTGTGCAGGAAAATGTGCTGGCATACCACTTATATATAAATAAATATGCTGCAGCTGTATTGCCAAAAAATGAAGCTCTGCTTCACCTCTGTGAATTGGATATCACTTGAATTCAGTGCCACAGTAATAATAACTTCCTGGGCTACAGACTTGTTCCACTGTATAATTTTTCTCTTTACAGTGTGATGCGTCAGTCTCTGCTATGATTTCTGTTGTTTGTTCAAGCACTATTCATCTAAACTTAACTGTTGATTTATTGGTATTTCTTACGGGTCGTCTGAAACTACCCGGATTAAATTGCTATGAATAAATACTGCATGAAATATCTGAGAAAGGGGAAAAAGTTCTCCAAAAATTAAAATTTTGCATAAGCAAATTTTTCTCTTTTGAATTTGACACCTGTCACTTGATTAATAATCTAATTCCTTGTGACACCATTTAAGCTTCTGAAACAAAGCTACAAGTCTGTACCAATTTAATAAACATAGACATAAAAGGTAACATTTGAGTATTTTTTCCTATACAATTTTGTCCTGCAAGAATTAACCAAGATTGGCAACCTCTGGGTGACCTTGTTGTACTTTCAGTTTGTTCTTCTGGTGAAGAGTCCTTTGTTTCCATTCTCCTGATGCATTTCACTTACTTCATGCTTTTGCTTCTGTGTTTCCTTTACAAACTGGAGCTCATTGAAGTTTTAGATCATTTAACATTGGGGTCCATTAAGTGTTTTCTAGTGGGAAGCATCTGACTTTAGTATCTATCCTACCATTTTATTTCTAAACCATAACAATAGTTTTGCCTTTATTTGTTGATGATGATTTCCATTTCTCTTGTTCTCAATGTCTGAAGAACCTGAGCACGTGCCCTTGTTTGTTGCCACAATTCTTAATTCTGTTGTAAAATAAAATATTAACATTGAAGATGGTTTCTAATTCATATAAGCAAATGTGCCAGATGTAATAGTAAACTTCCTGTAGCAAGCCTTTATTCAAAAATGCTGATGGCTACCATTACAACTGATCAAATGAGAGAACATTTAAGTCTAAGAAATAGTGCCTGATTGTTGTGGGAGAAAAAAATGTGAATATTCAATTTAATAACACTTTGTAACCATATCTTACTTAATACAATTTTTTCCAAGTCTTTCCATTTCCTAACAAATGGATGTGGCTCTTTCTAAAACAAAACAAAAACAAAATACAAGAACAAATTAAACTTAGCTTCAGATTAGGGTGAACATAAGCATTTTCCCCTTTCAATTTGTGATTTTCAATTCCCATAAATTACATAAGTAAATAAAACACAAAGGTGCCAAAAAGAAATGTTTTATCCTGTTCAGGGAAGGTGTGCTGGCAAAGGAAAAGGTGGTTTATGTGACTATACACAGAAGTGGACTGGTGTGGGGTCCCATTCTTCTATCTATTTAAAGACAAGTTGAGAGAGATTCCATTTTCAGCTGGTGGAGTCCCATCTATTGGAAGAGTTCACTTTATCTCGATACATAAATACAAAATTACTGCTGTTGAGAATTTGGAGGAAGTTAAGAGTGGAGTGCAAGTGATAATTGTCTCCGTGCTCTTCTACTTTGTTCATACCACTCCATCCCCATTCTCAGCTTCATCCTCTCCCTTGAATGTACAGCTACTTCAGAGATGAAGTTACCTTGAATCTTTAATCTTCTTTCAGCAAAACTGCCAAATGTTGGATTTCCAAAACCTAGTCCAACATACCCTAGAAGACAATCATCTAAAGGTGGAGGACTGGGTAATTCCACTAGAGAAATTTTTTTTTCTTTTACATTGACTGTAGATGACACTAATTAGATTCCTATAAAATCACACACAGCACATGCTAGCCTCATACATGTACTCTTAATACTAGTCCCTTTAACAAGAGTTAGGGTTCTGTTATTTTATTATCTACTACAATGTTTATGAAAATTTGAGAAAATGTGGTTTAAGTGTATCAGATGAAGCTCTAAAGTAGGAAGTCCGATGAAATAAATATTATCATACCAATGAGTCTGGTAAGGATTAACATAACTTCAAAGTATTTTCCCCCTTGCCATTCACCATAATTACATCTCCATACCATTTGCATATGCATTACAAATACATGAATAATTTATGGCACAAATCTGCTTTTGCTTAAATGAATTTCTGTGTTCATAACATTTTCATTCACGTATATTTCTTCAAGCTTGGAAACTTGTAGTTCCCATTAAAATCGTAAAGTACTTACGCCACTTGTGTTACATTTTCTGTCAATAAAACTTGCCATAACATTTTTTTTCAGTGTCAGTATTGTTGATATGATATGGTTGGGTTAATTCAAAACCAAGTATTTGATAACCTTTCATTTTCTCTTCTTTCCACAGATCATGGGTTATAGGTGCAATAGCTCTTCTCTGCCTGTTGGGCTTGACCTGGGCCTTTGGACTCATGTATATTAATGAAAGCACAGTCATCATGGCATATCTCTTCACCATTTTCAATTCTCTACAGGGAATGTTTATATTCATTTTCCATTGTGTCCTACAGAAGAAGGTAAGTGAGAATTCTCTCTTAAACATTAAATAGCACCAATTTTGTGACAATTGTACAATATTCTTTACATAATCTCAATTTCATGGCAAAGGAACTCTAATATATTCTAACAAAATACCATTCTTGTTATGTTTGTCTCAAGAAATAAACATTTGTTTATACTTCTAAAGGTGAAACAGATACAAATGAAGAATGTAATAGCTGGTGAGAGTATTCAAATAAAAGAAAAAATAAAAACATTGTATCATTTGGAAAACCACAAGGAGTATTTTCACCCATCCCTAAGAGCTAGGTTTCATGGAAGGGAAAATACAGATATTTTATGGTAGGATAATATACATTTTTCAGTCAATATATAGTTTTTGAATGAAGAATGTTCTAGTCTTTCCTTTAAAAGCAACTCCATTAGAAAGTATGACTTGAATGAGTAGAATTATGTTCTTAATTTTTATATTGTATAATTTTCCTCATATACTTTTAAAAGCCAATTTTAGCAAACAAATATTTTTATTGCTTTTCTTCCCCCTCAGATTGATTTTTATTACATTACTCTTTTCAACTCTATTAAAAAATGTGGTCTCTGTAGCTCTGATCACTTAGGCCTTTTAGCCAGATTTCATGAATTTGAATTTCACTTCCTCCACTTAAAAGCTTATGTGATTTGGAGCAAGTTAATTAACCTCCTTTGTCCCAATCTCCTCATGTGTGACATAGAGGTGATGAAGATAATTATGAAATATTGAAAGAGGTGACTCAGGAAATGAAGTGGCAAAATGCAAAAAACATAAATTCTTAGAATAACATACTTATAATTTGCTTTGGAAAACAAGAAAATGAAGAAAAAGATCTCTAACACTAGAATTTTTGATAAAATAAATCAATATTAAAATAACTTGAGAACAATGCTTAGTCTACTTCTTAAGATGGAACAAGAATAAAGCAAAATTTTATTCTGTTTCACTTGTAGGTAGCTATATAAAATGTAACGCAATAGTCACAATACAAGCTAAAAGAATAACAATCAGGTCTATAAAAGATTGCAGAAAAGATTGTATTTGAATGGATAGATTTTAATCTAGTGGGATAAATTTACCCTAGTAAAAGGTTATAAAATAGCAGGTGTACTTTCCCAAATAATGTTTATGCTTCCCAAATTGGAGAGGTCACCTCAGCATATGTTTATTTACTACATATTGACTTCTATCAAGGGGAAATCCAAGCTAGTAAAGGGTTACTTAATTCCAGTGCCTGATTTTGTGGTCATCATTGGTCTCGGTATCCAGCAGGCAGTCTGTGAAACAAATAGTGGATCTTGTGGGAACCACTGGGCAGGCTCCTATTCAGTTCCTAGTGATAGAAGCAACTAAACTGGAAAGGAAACTAGGACATAGCTTAGCATTTTGCCCAAGAAAATAGAGAGATTGGACATATTCACCAGCTAGCAATCTACTACACTTGATGAGGTTAAAAAACATGAGACATTTAAAAAGCTGAGAAGAGAGATAGAAAGAAAATAGTTGTCAGGAACATAAAATAGGAATCAAAAAAACCCAGCAAAATACCCAATTAAAGACCAGAAAAAAATCAAGATATAATGGTCAGCATTGTAGAAAAACAAAACAAAAAACTTCAGCGAATCAGAGATTATTTGGAAAGATGTTTCAATTTGAAAAGAAAAAAAACCCATAGCATTCTCAAGAGAAATATGTGTAGACAAAAATGGGCATATATCTGAGGGATTAAAATATTGGTGACATTTGTCCATGAAAATAAAGGACTGCACTGTAGTGATCAGTCATAATATTTTAAAATATAGTGAATTGTAAAACAGATGTACTGCCCTTGTTTCATACATGTTATAATACTCCCCTTCCATGCCTTCTACAGTTTTGATTTTTTAAATTTGATGGTATTTTTTTCTAGTGTCAAGAATATGACCCTACAACAGAAAATATAAAAACTCATGGGTGATTACTGAGTTTTTTTTCAACAAAAAATGATGGACTATTTGTCCTTACAGCTGTAGAAATAGTCTTGAAGGTTTTTCTTTTTTTTTTCTTTTTAAGCCATGTGTCAACTTTGTTCATAGATCCTGCATATGTAGTTGCTTAGATATTTTAATTAAAAATTAAAGGCTATTTTTGGTTGAGTCAACTGATTAACAATAATCAATAATCTGGTGATGACAGTACTTTTCTAAGTATGGATTACATGGTTCTGTCCCCAGTTTTTGCACTGGTTACTAGAGGTTTCATCTTTGCGATTACTATTCAATATACTCTTGGAGCTTCCCAGCGTATTTTACTTCAGAAGTGAGAAAGTGGAAGAAATGTTCTGTTAGCTAGGCATATATTCTTCCATGTCTGCTACAGTCTAGAACAACACACACTGGGATATGACATCATTTTGTGATTGGAGTAATTAAGATGGAGGATCATGTGAAACACATTAGAGTATGTAAGTAATTGAGCAATCAAAGAATTTCCTTATCATCTACAGAAAAAAATGTTTTATGGACATGGTCCATGTTCTTTCCCTTTATTCTGTTTGACATATGCTTACCATTTCAAATCAGAACACAGCAAAATACAGTCAGTGTAATGAATCAGTTAACAATGTTGTGAATGTGGAAGCAGGCATCCCCAGATTTCTTGATTTGTTTATGAAATCAGGTCAGCACATTCAATCTCGGTTAGAAAATGCAAATAGCTCATGATGAATTTCTGTGGCCCTTTCAGTATTGCTTCTGTTGTAGCAAGGAGAAATGTGGTTCTCTTGCTCTTTTCTGTTCTCTCTTAGTACTACAATATCGGTGAAAGTTTAAATCACATCATTACAAAAGACAATCATTTTCAGGGTACACTGGAAAAAGCAAACAAACAAGAAGAAGCTGCAGTTACAATCCAAGATTAGGGTCTTAGAAATGTTACAAATTACCTAGTTTCAGCAAAGCTTATCTTTGGTTGGAGATTATTTTAAGCCTTCCTGATTTCTAATTAAAGCATTTATCCTTCTTTTTAGATATGGAGGAGACCACTTTAATAATAGTACTAGTAATATGTAGTATGTGACTTGATGATGCATTAATGTTAGAGATGGCATCTCAGAAAGACCTTTGTGATTACAGACCACCATGAGTTTCCTATTTTCCCATATAAGGCACATTGCTTAACCTTTTTGGTCAGTTTGCTTTCACTGTTTAATCATTTCAGTGACCTTATCTGTAAAATAAGACTAGTAATTATGCCCTAGAGTTATTTTGAGGAACTTACATTGCACAACTTCATACAAGAAATGACTAAAAATTAGATGGCTCTTCAGTCTACCCTCCTACACACACACACACACACACACACACACACACATACACACACACACTCACTCACACACACTCACACGCGCACACACATCCCTCATAAGCATACAAAAATATTTTAAGGATTTTTTTTAATGAAAAAAGTATTGCTGTGTAATGACTGAATAAAAATATCTACATTTCTAAGTATTGATATATGTAGCATTGAAGATAATGGGTTAAAAAAATAGATCATGAGAAATGTATATATTTTGGATAATCCAGAATGAATAAAGAAGTTAAGGGCTAGAATACCATAATTCTACTTGCTTACTCTGTATTTCTCCACCAAGAATGAATTTTTCTCTCTTGGCCATTTTCTTTTCAACTTCATCACATAAACATTGGAATCATTCCAACTTCTCTTTTGAAGTTGTTCTTATAACTCATCTTACTAAACCTTGCTTGGTTTCTCTCTCTACTCCCACTGGTCCTCTTCCTTCGTAGTTTCAATCATCTAGTCATTGCTGTATTATTACTATGTTTTTTGTTTGTTTGTTTGTTTTTACTTTGGACGAGAGGATGCAGGGTCCATGTTAAGCAAATGACAGCTCTACTTTTTGCTACATCCCAGCCATCCATCATTGAGGCAACAATGTTGGATAAGAAATGTACTCATTACCTTGCTCATATAACTGTAACCCCTCTGTACAGTATTTTCAAAATGAAAGCTTAGTTAAAAAATAAAATATAGCTGGGCACCGGTGGCTCACGCCTGTAATCCTAGCTACTGAGGTGGATGAGCTCTGAGGATCCTGGTTCAAAGACAGCTGGGGTAGAAAAATCCGTGAGACTCTTATCTCCAATTAACCCACTAGAAAACCGGAAGTGGTGTTGTGGCTTAAGTGGTAGAGTGCTCACCTTGAGCTGAAGAGCCCAGAGTTCAAGCCCCATGACCGACAAATATATATATATATATATATACATATATATATATAACATTTAATCAGTGTGAGCTCTTCACAAAATGAGTGTATACTGTTTGGAATCTAAATAACACCTTAAAAAGCACATATTTATAATTTTCTTTTAAAATGAAAGTAAATAGAATATAACAACATTGTTACAAAATATGAAGTCAGGTGAAATAAAATAAGGAGCTAAAAATAATATGTAACTAGCATTTTATGTTATCTCTGTTGTTGTTCATAGTGGAGCTGTTACTTGGACATGTTACCTTTTTATTTTTGTAGGGCTTGTTCCATAAATAGGTATTAGTAAAGTTTCAATTAAATAGGCAATGATAAAACTTTCCCTCAAAATGGTTGATATGTTTTCCTGCTTCAAAACACAATTTAAAGTTGTTAGATATTAATCTCATTTTTAACCGTATAATTTTATCCTAAAACGCAGATGAAGAATTTGAATCTACAATAAAGTAGTTGTATTTTTCCCACAATTATTGACTAGAATCTTTTGAGCTGTTTAAATTTGTAAATCTTCTGGAAAGGTAGGGAGGGAAGGGATGGTAGGGGGAAAACAATGGAGGTAACAATGCTCAATAGGAAGTGTACTCATTACCTTACTCATGTAACTGTAACCCTCTGTATAGTATCTTTACACTAAAAAATAAATAAATTTGTAAATCTCACTTTTTAAGTGAATAAGGTCAAGAGAACAAAAACTTAAAAGATTTTTAACTCTTCTTATTCTCCCTTTCTGTGTTTAAATATTCTCTTTTATCTTCCTCTGTTCTTTTCCTTAACCCACCTTCTACATCTCAGAAGCTAAAGTTCTAATTAAACTTGTCCTACAGAACAATAGCTACAATAACTTTGTACCAATAGAGTACTTAATATAGAATTTATGAAGCCGAACATATGTCTTGAAATTATCATAAGCCTATGTTCTTTGAACTAAGAGACAATATCGCTATGATGCTACTGACAATAATGACAGTGATGTGAAGAGACTCATGCAAAATTTCAAACTTGACAATATTGATCATTTTTCTCCCAATCTGTCTAGTGAACACAATTTTTTTGCAGTTGTAGGATAAGGAAATCTTTATAGTACCCCAAACTAAAATTCACCTAGAGTACAAAAAGTATATCTTATTTCCTGGCTAACTGGAGTATCTTTCTAACAGAGATTAACATTTAATTGACTAGGTACGAAAAGAGTATGGGAAATGTCTGCGCACGCATTGCTGTAGTGGCAAAAGTACAGAGAGCTCCATTGGCTCAGGGAAAACGTCTGGCTCTCGAACTCCTGGACGCTACTCCACAGGCTCACAGGTAAACCTGTGTCATCATTTACCCTACCCCTCTCTTACATGTAGTCCGTTCTAAGTTGCTGTGGTGTGATGATCAGCAATGTTCTAACTCAAATCTCTACCATATTTGGTACTTGTTGTTTTGGTTGACTGGCTTGGGAATGATACTACGAAACCTTCAAAGAACCAAAAATCTTATAAATATAGGAGACAGAGTATCTGTTTGCATAATAATTAGTGGCTTCAGATGGTTTATAGCTGAGTATGGCAAGTGAAGAATGACATTTCCCACATAGCCTAAAATCCAAAGGAAGTAATAACACATATATGTGTATGTATGTATGTACATAGGTATGTGTGTGTGTATATATATATAATATACTATATATATAGATATGAAATTGGGGGTTATTAGCTCCATGTTCAGTATAATGATTATCACATAGATAATGTATATAGTCAACATAAAGAATTCATAGAATTGTCACAGAAAATTACAGTATTATTCATAATATGATAAAATAATGATAAATTTTATAAGTGTTTTTTTGTTTTAATCCTAGCATTATCATGCAGCAGCTGTGACACACAATAAAGATTTCAGTTATTGTCTCATTTTTTGTTTGTTTTTTTTTGTGCCAATCTTGAGACTTGAACTCAGGGCCTTGAGCTTTTATGCTTAACGTTAGTGCTCTACCACTTGAGCCACAGATCCATTTCTGGCTTTGCTATTTCTTTTATGTTATTTTTTGTTTGTTTATTTTTGACATAGGATCTTAATATATAGACTAGGCTGTCCTCAAACTCATTCTCCTGTGTCAGCCTCTTGAATGCTGGCATTATAAGTGTGTATCCCTGTGCTTGGCCAGAGTAAAATTTTTAGTTATTGACTTTCTATATTTTTAAACAGTGGTAATAATATTGATTTGTTAGGTTTTTAGTATAATTAAACCATTACATGTAAAACCACTTAGAAGAAATTATAAGTAGTGGTGTCATTACATGATATAATTTCACATATATATTTTTAAAGCTGTGTCATAATTTTCTTCAGCTTTCTACTTGTGACATCACAATTTTCTTGAAGAACATACATTTTCTTGTTGTACATAATATAGTGTTAATTTTAAGTAATTATGACAATATAACCTTGTATGAAGTTACAATGACTTAGGTACTGTGAATAAATATAGTAAGTACTAAATAACTATATTAAGTACTGAATAAATATATTACATAATAATTGTGACCTTACATAAACAAAAACTCAAGTACTCATTCATGGAAGAGCAAAATTGAGGGATATGAATGTAGTTTTTCATACCAAAAGATTCTAAAATATCTAACCCCATGTATATAATTTTGTTATTTAGAAAGAGTGGTTTCTTTGGGATGTCATCTTCTTCCAAGCTCTAAGGACAAGTGATGGTTAAAAGAGCACTTCTCTAGTGGCCTGGAGTTTCACGCTAGTGTTGAGAGATAAAAAGTATCCACAAACAAACCAAAAGAAAATAGCAGACTGTGCTATAGCAAAATACACAGATATGAAGCCTCAAGGTGACCACCAGGACTAAGTACTGGAGAAAGATTGCCTTTGGAAGTGATTTAAAAAAAAAAATACGAACATCTAAATGACGTTATTTAATTTATTTTTTAAATGACATTATTTTAAATGAGAGGAGGAAAAGATGTTCAGGAAGAGGCAATGTTAGGCCAGAAAATAGTTAGTGCCCAGACCTTGAAGGAGAGGAGAGCTTGCAGTTTCAGGGATAGTGAGATTTATTGGGCTAGTGGAATTTGGGGGGAGATGGTTGGGAGAGTAATAACATTATGAGAGAAAAAGAGAGAGGAAACAAAGGAAAAGACAAACTATAGATCCTAAAATATTTCTAGGCGGATGTAAATTTAGATATTTTATTTTTACAGTACTGTGTTTGAACTCAGGACATCATGCTTCCAAATGAAGATCTCTATCACCTGAGCCATGCCCATAACCTTTTCTTTTTCTTTTTTTTTAAATTTCTATTTAAATTGTGCTGTAAAGGTGATGTACAGCGCGGTCACAGTTACATAAGTCAGGTAATGAGTACATTTCTTGTTGATCAGTGTTACTCCCTGCCCCCTCACTTTCTCCCACTTTTTTCCCTCCCAACCTTTCCCTTGATAGAATCTCATCCTTTTTGTAAGGGGTTAGGATCACAGGTGAATCCCATCAGGCCTGGTTCATTGATTGTGAGGAGGGCTTGATAATTTTTTGCACAGACTGGCTTTAAACCACCATCCTCCCAATCTTTACCTCCAGGGTAGCTGAGATTACCCTGGCTGGCTCTGAGGTTCTGCTTTGTTTACTCTAGAAAACCAGTTGGATAAGTTAGAAGTAGAAGAATATCATCTATACATCTAAAAGGCTGACAATATATGAAATCACAGAAATATAATTTTACATACATATGTATAGTGGTGAGTGTGTGTGTGTGCGTGTGTGTGTGTGTGTGTGTGCATGTGTGTGTGTTTAAAATATCCTTGTGGGGCTTAACCTTGTGGCCTAAGCTCTTTCTCTGATTTTCTTCATTCAAAGCTGGCACTCTCCCACTTTGAGCCAGAGCTCCACTTCCAGTTTTCTGGGGATTAATTGCAGATAAGAGTCTCCTGTACTTTCCTGCCTGTGCTGGCTTCAAACTGCAATCCCTAAACTCAGCCTTCTGAGTAGCTAGGATTACTATACAGGTGTGAGTCACCAGCACTCTGCTCTATGAGATGAAAGATTGTCCTTCCCAATTTGACCCACATGTAAGAATTCTGTCATGTAGCTTCCATTCAGCTTACTGACTTCGTAGATGTATTTTTTGTTTTATTATAATATCTTTAAAAGAATTTAACATATGGGAAACATAATATAAACATTATAAACATTAATATTAAATAATTACTAATTATGATAAATAATAATAAAGCATCTGTCCACCTAATATCCTCCCTAGGAAACAGAACATGTATAACATGTTTTTTTTTTGTTGTTACATAGCTCCTCCTTAGTCAATCAGTGTCTCTCCAGTAAGTTATCCTAGATTTTTTCCATTCATTTCTTAACTTGTATTACTTACCCCTCTAAAAAGTGTGTTGCTGCTTGGTATTCTCTTTTTAATCTGTTTATAAATGTTATCTGACTGTATAAGTCCTCTACAACTTTTTCTAAGATTTTTTTTTCTTTTTTTGGTTGCTGTTGATTTTGTTGTTACTAGTTTTTTTCAGGTTTGCACCTCTGAGTGTACATGACAATTTGATAAATATTGTCTTATATTCTGAGAATACTATTATTATTCAAGAAGCTCCAATATATTTGCAACCTAACCATTTCTTAGTTTGGTTTTGCAATTATTTCTTGTTGAATACTCCAGTAAGCATCAGAAAATATTTTCTGAGACCTTCCCTCCCTCCCTCCTTCCTTCCTTCCCTCCTTCCTTCCTTCCTTCCTTCTTTCCTTCCTTCCTTCCTTCCTTCCTTCCTTTCTTCCTTCCTTCCTTCCTTCCTTCCTTCTTTCCTTCTTTCTTTCCTTCCTTTAGTTTCTCTTTCTTTCCTTGTCTTTCACTCTTTCTCTGTCTCTCTCTTCCTTTTTACTTTTTTAAAAAATTTTTTCTGTTGCCAGAGCTGGGCTGAAGCCCAGGGCCTGTGTGCTATCCCTTCCTTATTTGTTTTCAAGGCTACCACCATTATTAGCTTTGTTTTATAGTTAATTGGAGATATGAGTCCCACAGACGTTACTGCCTGAGGGCTTTAAACTAGCCCTCAGATATCAGCCTTCTGAGTTGGAAAAATTACAGGAGTGAGCTGAGACACACAATTTTTACTTACTAAGTTAATAAAGTGGACAAACAGATCAACCCAGAAAGAAAACCATCCCAAAGAGAAATATAAAGTAATATTTTGTTGAATTTCTTCCACCTAGAAATTTAAATATATAAATAATGATGGAAGGAGCTTCAGTTATCTATAAAACTTTCCACTATTAATCAATGAATGGAGCTGAAACAGCTAAGTTTATCCCCATCAAAACAAAGAAAACTTGATAGCAACCTCTAAAATTACAGATTTTTTTCTAAAACTTACAGAAAACAAGTACAGCAGCATTTTAACACCACTGAATGTTTTTTTCTTACAAAAATTACTTTTGCAAGGCTCTTCAACTAAAACTTTTATTAATAAAACTAACAGTGTAAATTATACGTAAACATTTTCATTCTAATAAGTTACAATGGAAATAATTTGTTTTATCTTGGGAACTAAAATTTGCTAATTCTGTCTAATGTATACCATTATATATGTATTCTCTTTTCATATAATCATCTGTGGTATAGATATTTACAGATACACCTCATGAGAATAAAGTGTCATTAATATTATTTCTTATATGCATCATTATATATCACAATATATTATATATTATTACATATTATGGGATATATAATGTATATATGACATACATTAGGTATCATGATGCATAACATGTCATGTATAGTATATAATATATAATGATATATTATTTTATGTTGTGATATATATTACAATATATATCAAGATATATAGTGTATTATTTCTATTATCATATATATCATATATTATATGATATAATTCATTCATATTGTTTTTATAGGACTATATTGAAAACATGGAAAAAATTTTATTTAGATACTAGAAAGAAGTCTCACATGCCAGTGACACACACACTGAAATATCCCCAAAAAACAGTTTTTATGAAACCCATAGCTTCATGAGTTTGCTTCTGTTCTTTTTCTTTCCCTACTCAGAGCCGAATTCGTAGGATGTGGAATGACACGGTTCGAAAGCAGTCAGAGTCCTCCTTTATTACAGGGGATATCAACAGTTCAGCCTCACTCAACAGAGGTAATTACAAAGGATTTTTCATATGTTTTATTCTGCTGATTGTTTTAAGAAGTTCTTCAATACATTGCTTTGCTTGCACATTCTGAACCATGTGAAGGAAATATTGCAAGGATATAAAACCTGGTTGAGTGTAGCAATGCGTTCCATTATTCATAGACGGTTTTAAAACGATCCTGAATTTTTAGGAAATCTTTTCTGAAAGAAGTTAGAAAATGCAAAACTTTTTCTAGTCATCTGTCACGGCTATAAACTGGTGAGCTGTCAGGCCTCATTGAAAGTAGTGAAAATGGCCAGTTACGGAGTCTGTAAGCATCGTAGGCTTCCACATTTTCCCAAGTAAAAAACGATTTCATAGTCCTTATGAGAGTAAAAATATTCTGTCTAATACATACTTAAGACAACCTGTGTACATGGGAAAAAATTAAATCTAATCTTAACATCTAAAAGACTTATCCAGATAATGTAAGACATTCAACAATCCAGGAAAAAAAGTGCCTTTATATACATTGAGAATCTTTGTGGGTATGTACTTGTAGTCAAATGCTCCCTGGACATCCTTTATACTTGAAAAGAAATTCACTTAATCTATGGTTTTGTTTGCAGTAGATATTCTCTCTCTCTCTCTCTCTCTCTCTCTCTCTCTCTCTCTCTCTCTCTCTGTCTGAAAGATAAGTCAATTTCTCAAATTCACTACAGTTAAATTTACTCGGTGCAGTTTGTGGATTCAGTGTTGGGAAACATCGATTAAAGGTTTACCTGGAAAGGTTGTATTTTCATGAACTTATTTTAAGTATCAATGTTGTTGTTATTTAACCTATAACTGAAAATATTGTCTGATTTCAGCCTCTTTCTGTCAGCTTTCTGTTACATGTAACTTTACATGGAAAAAGAATTCTGGCTTGTTATTAGGAAATACTCATAAGTTGGTGGTCTCAATTGAACTAAAGTAGGTGTCAGTGTACATTTATATACAGAACAGATTGAATTGAATTTGATATAGAGATCTGTGTCTTATCATCTTTGTACTGAGCGTTGTATGTTGTTTGGGACAATAATGTAATAACTATAATCTAGTAATTATTTTAAATCTTCTACTTCAGTTTCTTAATCAAGTATAGTAGGGGAGAATAATCCTATAATATGAGGACAATACATTAAAATAAAACAGCAGTCTACTTCTTTTCTTTTATTATTAATTTGCTATTATGTGTTCAATGATCTAGACAAACTTCTCTAGTATTCTATTTTTCAACTTAATTTTCATGTTGATTATAAATGTATGTAAATATCTACATTCTACTTTACCTTAATTTCCAAAGGCCTTAATAGTCTTAGAACTAATTTGCTTCCAGAGTGACTAATATATTTTTATTCTTTAATCCAATACATAGAAAATTTGCATCTTGTTCCAAAAAGAAAACTATCCTAGTCAACAGGATTTGTGTCAGAAGAACCTTGAATTTAATCTCATTAAAAGATAAGATAATATAACTGATATACTGAGTATCATGAGGAAAGACTCAGTATTTTAGATTCTTTTGACTAGTATTATTATCAGTATTGACATAAATACAGTAAGTATCTAACTTTAATAAAAACTGTTTTAATTGCAAAATGTTTGTGCTCTGAAAACTCAAGTACATTATATAATATTTGTATTTAGCTCCTTTTTGCCTTCTCAAGAATTTCAACAACTTATAATTAAGGTGATAATGGGCCAGTTGAAACATATTTAAAGAAACTGATAATAATTTAATTTGTCAGACCCATGTACAAGATCCTCAATTTTAAAGGAACTGTATTAAAGTTATCAAATGAGGGCTATAATATTGTGAGTAATATAGCACAAGTTATTTTAATGACATCTCTGGGGAAGAAATTAAATTGAGTGTGTAATCTGAGGAAGGTGCAGTCAGGGTCTTTTTCCACCAAAATATATACTTACTTAGTGACTCCATAGTTGCTAGAAATCAGAATGATCTTCACTTTCTGTATTCATTTCCTGCCTCCCTACCTGACCCAAGTCAGAATTTCCTAGTTTTATTTTTTCTCTCATTAGTTTATATCTGAGATGATTAGAATACTTTAAAATTTTATTTCTTCATATTAGTTCTTGAAAGATAGTCTTTAACCTCCTTCTCTAATCTTGTCTTGCTCCCCAGGGTCCTATCTTCCCTGCATTCAGGCGTGTGTATCATATTTAGGTAGGTGACATCTGAGATTCATCTTTCCAGATAAACACTTCAGTCATCTCAACCACATAAATTATTCACTTCTGTTATTTGAAAGACTATATTATCTACTGTTACAGTGAAAATCTTGGACACTACATCTTTTCATTTTTTATGTACTTTAACCTCCCATTCATCCTTAGTTACAGCCAGAATTTTTTTTAATTCAAACTCCATTTCTTTCTTTCTAAATTAGATATGTTAAACCTCTTATTTTGTCTTTAAATTAAGGAGGACCCTTGAAAACTATAAGCTGTTGTCTGAAATCTGTTCTATTTAAAGTTTGATTTTCTTTATTCCCCATATCACTTTCCAATACACAAGATTATTGTTTTAAATTCCGTGTCTTATCATCCATTCTTCCAAACAAGAATCTATCATGATCATCTTGAGGATTTTTTAAGAATTAAAGATCAACTATGTAGTGCAGAATGACTTGTAAAGTTTTTTTAAAATTTTAATCATATCCTTTATGCTCTGTTCTTAACCAACTTCTGGCATCATATAGATCAGATAATTTTTTTTCTGTACTATAATAAACCAGACAACCACTGTGATTTTATTCCTTGGTATCATGTGAAACTCTGGAAGATTTAACAACTCAGTAAATTATATAGAAATTCATATATATTCTACTTGAGAGTTTATTGTTCAGTCCCTCTATATCTTTGAAAGGCTCTCCTTAATCTAGAATGTTTTAATATCTGTATCTATGAAGATATTTCTTAGAATGGTCCTATACTTATTCAAGTATTTATTTTCCTTCTTGGGAAGACTGTACCTTGGGTGCAGTTTTATATAGTCAGACAAATCCAGAATTCCTTGGAACCTGAAATACTGTCAAGTTAACACCATGGATGCCCATCTACACAGGTAGAAGGAACTTTACCAGAGCTGTACACTGATGGCTGAATACATAAAGCTGAGTTCATGCTGAGCCAAACTCAGGTGTTCACAAAATTGTACATCTGTAAAAGGATTTTCTCATTGCTTCCCTCAATATTAACTAATATGTACATGTCTTGAAAATTTAGCCCATGCTCAGCTGGCCTCTTCCAGGGTTATATAGGAATCTAAGTCAAACCTTATCTCCAACAATTTAAATTAAAAAAAAATGTCTTTAAAGCTTGAGTTTGATCCAAAAAACAAAAATCTAGTCTTTACTGAGAAACTTCTCAGGCATTTCAGTCAACTACTGGACATTTTCATTTATTTTCTAAATATAAATTAAAATGTATTCTGAAATTAGATTTTATCTCATTATAAATACTATTATTGCATTTCCGATTTTCCTTTTATTTACTTGGAGATAATAAGGCCAGTAATCTAGTTCACAATCAAGTTTTGCTAAGTAGATTTTGTCAACAAAGTATCTTTTGGTGAATTCCAAAAAGGTATCACAAATCATCCCAGCTTGGACTTACAGTGAAAAACCATACTCCTTCTAAATTAGTAAAAGGGCATGTCTGGGAGCAATGATTTGGTTAGCTACAACAAAGGATTTTTTGTTTGTTCACTTTCGCTTTTGTTTGTTTTTTTTCTCCTTAACTGCCCATTCTCTATTTTGGCAACAAGTTGAAGTAACCCAATTCCTTAGGTAGGAAACAGCTATAGTTATTTAAGCCATACTTAGCTCTTCTGTGTCAGAAGAGCAATTTTAGATGTGTGTAGCAATTATATTTTAATACTGTAAATTGATTCTGCAAGGTTTAGAGATTCAGAGTTGTGTGAATCTCCCCAAACATTCCTAGTAAACTTGTGTGAATAGTAAGATTATGCTAGTGTATTTCTTTTCTTTTCTTTTCCTTTTTTTGTTGTTGGTGGTAGTCGTGGGGCTTGAACTCCAGGACTGGGTGCTGTCCTTGAACTCTTTGCTCAAGACTAGCACTCTACCACTTTGAGCCACACTGTACTTCTGGTTTTCTGATGCTAAATTGGAGATAATAATCTCACAGACTGTTCTGCCTGGGCTGACTTTGAACTGGGATTCTCAGATCTCAGCCTCTTGCGTAGCTAGGGTTACGGGTGTGAGCCACCAGCACCTACCTGGCAAGGTGTATTTATTTTCATAATTTTTTTCAGGGTATGTTTCAGTTCCCAGGTAGTAACACAAATACCTACTAAAAAGTGACCTTACCTTTAACTAATGTTGTTGGTGAAAGGATCCTTCATGTCCATCCCAGGGGACCACCCAGAGGCAAACAAACACACATGAAAGATTATTGTAAGGTTTATTAGAGGGGCCATAGTTCTCAGGAGAAGGAGCACGGGCACCCGACCCTATCCAGGTAGTAGCAGGAGGGTCTCCTAGGCAGGAAGTGAAGTAGGTGGGTGCTCAGGTGGGTCTGGGTGGAGAGAGGAAGTGGCCAGCTGTAGGGCAGGAACTCCAGGGCAAGGAGGAGCTCAGGTATGGTGGAGCTGAGGACTAAAATTGGGCATAATACTAACAGTTGGTCCAAAGAGAAAGTTACTGTCAAGAAGGAGACATTTGCAAGTAGACATTTGTACTTTACTTGTAGTTTTGCATAATAGTTCTAGGAATGAACATTGAGAATTTTTTTGGTTGGTTTGTTTTTCTTTTCTTTTGTGTGGTATTGGGGCTTGAACTCAGGGTTTGCACTTGTCAAGCAGATGCTCTATCACTTGAGCCATGTTCCCAGTCCATTTTGCTTTAGTCATTTTTCTGAATAGAGTTTCAAGTTTTGGTGAAGATCACTCTAGATCTCCGTAGCTGAGACCACAGGTGCATACCACCATGGGTGGCCTCAC